TAATAACAGCAGAAATAATAATGGCTAGGTACATCACTCTAAATTTGGTTTGTTCATAATAATAAATAATCACATTTTATCTGGAATCACCTTCTCCCTTCGGAATCGTTGTTCGCCAATCTTTTACACCATTACTGGATATGTACGGCGCATCTCGCCCACAGAACACTAGCGCCTAGTCGCGACCAGCACTAACAGGTATTGAAATTTCCATTCGTACCACTCGATACACACCCAGGGCACTTGCAAGGTTTATTAGGTAATTTCTTAAGAAATACTTCCGAGCCTAAAAGATACTTGTGGCTCCAGTATCAAGATTCTTTCGTAGATAGAATGTCCGGTCCTTCAACTGAGTGTCACCAAGATTTATTACTTCCTCTTGGTATCCCTGAAATAAGGAATGTTAATTCAGTCCATTTTCTGTCCGTAGTCCGTATCTTACAAGAGAGTCCTTTTCCTTAAAGCGAACACTATGAGAGTGATGGTCGCACAGGCTGCCGCCATGAGCGAGATCAATTATACTATTTATTAGGTGTTGGTGCGCGGCCTGCTTCAAGCGAGCGTTGTTTTTCTTTAAGACCCCCTCCTAGGTTCAAGGCAGCGCTGATTGCTCCGAGCGGTTCGGGTTTCTAGCCCTGCTCCTACTTACTTTTCAAAAGGCTCACTTCTGTATGCTGTGGTTGCATTCCACCTTTTGTTCACGTGGAAGGAATGGTGTTGTCAGCGCACGTGGTTTTGGAGTACAAGGGGTGTAACCCCTTGTACTCCAAAACCACGTGCGCTGACAACACCATTCCTTCCACGTAAACAACGTGGAAGGGTGTAACCGAACCAAAGTCCACACCCATTTTTTGCCTGCCGTATCTGTGTGAATAATTTTTCCCGATGTTTATCTTCTTTCAGAAATCTTCAACTCTTTGCGACACTCACCTTGGGAAGGAACAATTAAGCGAAATAGGGATCGGCATCAAAATATATAATCTCTGCTCTGGTGATTTTGGCTACTTCTTAACAAGGCTTATTGACCAATAGCTTTTCAAATTTGCCCCCCTCCCCTGCACGTGTTTTGGTTAACACTGCCCGCCCACCGCAAGTGGGTCACCTTAATTTTACTTGGCACCCCATGCATATCTTTCTGAACGCTCACGATCTGTAGACTGTTATGGTGTTTAATGTGAAATTTCCGTCGGGCACCGCCCATTTCGGTGCTTGCCCCGTCCGCAGTGTGCGGGGCACCACTTGCGGCTACAGTGGCGTCTGGCTTTTTTTTTAAATAATATTTGGAAACGAATTACCTTGTTGCAATTATAGCGTAGGTAAATATATGGTTCAAGGCCACTCAGTTCGAAACTGTCTCCTCCTAATTCAAATGGCTGGTTAACGGCAACTTCCTTGTATGCCAACACGTCGTCTTCGTCCAGAAATGCAATATTAGCTAAACGGCACACATAAAAAAGTCTCTAAGAAATAAAACCGAACAAAATTCGTAAGGCTTAGAGCAAGCGGAAATGACTTACGAGAAACCAGACTGGTTACTTTCAGGCAGTCTTATAGTTGCATAAATGTGTGCGTCTTTTCTCGTTAATCCTCATTACATTGCTTGTCATTGCCTCGTTATCTTATCAAATATATTTTCGCGTTTTTTCCCCTTACGTTCGCGAATTTCTTTTAAATAGGTTCCCATTCGGAGGTAAGGGTCAGGATCGTCTCTGCGTGGTTATTGCACTCGAAAAAGAACGTAGTGGTGCAGTGAAACACAGGTTGAAATATGGACGAAAGGTCGAACAACTCAGAAAATGCGAACCTTCCTGCTCTACTCTGCGGGGGGGGGGCGAATGTCTAAGAGGCAGACAAAGTAAGGGATCATGTGGATTGCAGAGAGGATGAAAGAACGAGTCGAGGGAGCTCTCCTCGGCCAATAACAGAAAATATCAAACGGTGGGCGAATACGGCATGACCGGGCGTCAGCGGTTGGCCGTCGTAGGCGCCTACCGCCTTAGTGAGCCCCTCAAAATGCTGATCTGTGGCAACCTCTTCAGCTGCGGACCTAGCACCTCCGTCAACGGAAGGGACCTCCATTGCGAGGCTAAGCCCCACCTTTGCCTTTAAAGTTTTCGAGCGAATTGCTTGCAAGAATACATACTACTCAGAGTGGTAGAAGCAGGTGGACTTTGGGTTCAACAACCACGTGGTAGTTCATCCCCGCTTTCTCCAGTCAGCAATGTCAATGCACTTATATGTGCAGGATTTTCTCTGAGGGTCACGGAAACGCTCCTCCCAAAAGAGATAGGAGCGATTGCAGATTAGCTTCACGTTGAGAACAGCAGCTCGCATGGAGGTGAAGATTATAGCAGTCGTTTCGCCGCGTGGAGACAAAGCGTCACGAAATAGGGTGGATGTTAATGGTGTCATCAATTCTGCGGTCAAGTCGGAGCAATGGCCTTATTCAGCTGATGAAGCCCTCCCATGGGCCAGGAGCTCACCCAAGAAATGCGTTAGGAAGCTTATTCAGTGGATGCTCTGAAAGAATACTTCGATGTTCTTCGCGAAGTCGGACGCTAATATAGTGCCTACCAGAGCAATTGGATAAGGTCGCACATCTCATGTGCGCAAGTATTTTAGGCAGAAGAAGGAAAAATGAAGCTCACAGGACCTTCAAAGAGATATCCAAACTCTGAGCATTCAGAGCAGGGCAACAAGTCTCCATGCACATGCTCCCAAATGGGATTTCAGTGCTACAGTATCCATGAATGGCCACGTCTTCATCGTCGTTTTGTGGCAACAGGCCCCAAGTCGCGGACGTGGCGCACACCGCGGATACCCTCGGAACGGCTAGTTAACTTTCTCCCTACCTTCTCCCCCTCCTTCCCCCTTAAAATTTCTGAATACTACTGAAGTTTTTTTTGTTGTTCACGTTGTTCAGAATCTCTGAATACTCTTGAAAGTTTTCTTTCATAACGTATGCTGTTAAAGGCGAGACCCCGGGATAAAACTAGGTGCTAAGAGCGCTTCGTAGTGATGACTGAGCTGCGGAACGGCCTGAAAGTGGAAAGGAAAGCTAGAGAAATCTTTGGGATCGCTGAAATTAAGGCCTTAACCTTCAAAAAGGTCGGATGTGGAACGATGGCGAGGCAGGGCGGTCAAAGAAGACAAAACACGCGAGAGATCACGCCGTTCGAGAGAGCACGCCGATGGGTGGGAAGCGTTGCAACGGGGTCGATGGTTGCAGGCCCGTAAGGATTAGCGCCCTAACCGCGCAACTTTTGCGGCGAAGCTGGAGTGATCTAGGTAGGTAGGGACCTTACAATTTCCCTCGCGGTATCCTTCCCACTAGTCGGGCTAATCCCAGAGTTCGCCTCTAAGAATCTTTTGGAGCTCTTGCATTTTTTATATGTGGATGATTTCTTGGTAATTTTTTTTGATGCCGTCAAGCAGCAGTATAGGGCTTCTGTTCTGCATTCTTTCTTTGTTTGTGTCAACAGCCTGAATTGCCATATGAAGTTGTTACACTAGCATTTTCTGTAAGTCTGATGTGGCAGGGACGGCATGTTGAGGTCGAACCTGTCTTTTCTGTCCATCACTGCATAATCTATGTAGCTCTCACGTAACCCCCTGAACCTCGCTCTGTTATACATTGTACTACCCTATTCTACCGTATAATGTCCTAAATCCGATATAAAAGTTACCATGAGAACGTCCAGGTCTTTAGACTACTCTTATTCAGGTGTGCTGCACCCGAGTGTCTCGACCGCCCTTCTGCCGCGTATTCTCCTGATAAACTCTGCGATTCGTTCTTGCTCAGCCCGAGGACAAGAGAAACGGGAACACCATCCACTACAGGAGTATATGACGGGCTTTGGCTGCGCGCCACCCACCTTCTCTCCTCATCTTAAGGTTCGTGTAGACGCAGTAGCACTTTCAATAATAATCTTTTTTTTTACTTTGCGATTCAAGAGGCAAATACGTTTCGCATGTTTGCTTGTCCTATTAGGCTACTATGCGTTTTTGACGTCATAGCGTTTTCATCATCACAGTTTTGGTCCAACCTGTACAGCGCGCTGCAGAATGGTAGCACACCCTTCCGAATCACGAATATTTCAGTGTTCATGGAATTCCTTCTAGTCCAATCTGTACCAACTACTTAAAAACAAAACCGTCTGAAAACAAAACTACCTCCACAAGTCACACTCCTACTTTCAAGTTCCGTGCAGCGACCTTCTATAATATATATTTGTATCAAAGGATCGACAACTTCCTCAAAAAATCTGGAAAACGCAGAAATGGGGCCACACCTTACAATTGTAGCATTCCGAATGGAAATCTTCCGGTGAATGATACCATCCGAACAATGAGTGATAGACCGAGAATCATCTATCCATAAGTCTTGCACGAAGTACATTTGATGCAAGAAAATTTCTGTGAGAACTCCGAAGAATCCGGAACATCTTTGCTTACGTAGCATCCACCTTTAAAATTTCAGCCAACCCATCAAGGATTAGCCAGAAGATGAGCGAGGGCACGCTCTCTCAATTCACGGTGCACTGGCGCTTCACTCTGCTCAGCGTTGAATTTTTTATTTGAAAATGATCCACACTCCAACCACCCTGACTGACAATCACGATGCTCTATCTGACGCTGTTGAAAAGGGATCTGGATGGACTAATCATTTATCAGATGCATATGTCATTCTTCAATTTCGATGCAACAAGGATACAGCACTGTGGCATCTCCAAAGACTTGTGAAGATCCGAAAATATAGAGTTTGGTCCCACATGCCTTGAGCCCGAATCAGCTCCAAACACGATCTGACATCGTTATGTTCAAGTCGACTTACTATGGATTCTACGATTGACCATCCATCACATTTGCCGAAGATGAGGAGTGGGTACAGTGTGCTAACAAATAAACAAGCGGCGGTAGTCCAGCTCAAACGCTTCGGGAGTTCTTACTGCTCAAGTTCAACCTCGTCCAAGTAGGGCCTTCTCGGATTTTTGGTGGAACACGAGAGGAGTTGAGCTCTGGAAACCCTTCGTGTAGATGTCGCAGTCAACGCGTAAGTCAACCGTCCACAGCTGATTGCAACGCTTTCAATACGAAAGAAAAACAATACAAAGTTCGCTTGTGTTTGTTTTGTGTGCCATACGAGGTTGATAGGTGGAACATTTATTGAATCGGCCTAACGTTTCGACAAATCGTCGTCTTCTGAGGCCTAAATGTGGTTCAAGGTTGAGGTTTACATTCTACTCCACCAAGCGCCCTATCCGCTCTAGCGGTTCCGACGTTCCGTCAGAAGCCCCACAGAGAAACATAACCAAAAGTGATAGTTAACTCACCCAGGGCTTTACCGCTTGCGCCCATACTCCACTCCGCGACCACACGCTGGCGTTCATCAGTGAAAATGCACCCTGTGCTGTCTCCCGATATTAGTGATATTCGGGAGGCGCACGTAGCTTTATTCTACAGCTCGCAGTGCGGTATAAACGGCGAAAGATCACTTGTTATTGAAGGGCGCTCATCTCGGCCGTTCATCGCTGGATTTCTTGCGGAAATCCAGAATGCTTCCAATGCTTTTCTAGCAACAATTTCCGTCTCATGCGCCAACACCGTACACTTTATTTCGAATTCAACGCCATTGTGCTTCTCAACTTGTGCCTTCCAAGAGCTGTTGAACGAGTACCGCGTCTCATGTTAGCCAAATGTTCTTTGATGCGAGTGGCTAACACCCTTCCTGTTTCTCCAATATAGGTTGAGTTACAAGCTTGGCATTCATTTGATAAATTACTCCCCTATATGCACAATCTCCTGCTTTACCGTATGGGCAAATAACACAACCGTCTGACACACACTGCCTATCATAGAGCCTGTTTCGAACAAGCTAGTTGCCGTCCGATGTTTTCATTGGGAATATTGAACCAGCTGAACATCGTTCTGCAGCTGTGCTCTTCTAATGCTCCGTTGAAGCAGTGCTCACTTTGTCAGATATAAAGGGGAGACATAAGGGTAACTTGTTTTGACGCGGTACCCCTCTTGGGGAGATATGCCGACTTTGGTGTCTTTGTACCGCATAGCCGTTTGCCAATGGCAATTTTCGTAGCTATTCGTCGTGACGCATCTTTCAATATTGCCTGTGCTCATCCCAATAGCATTCTTGAACATGTTGCTTACTACAGCATGTTAGCGGCTTTTGGATGAGCCGATGTAGCGTGAATCAAGATGTTTTTCGAGCTACTTTTGCGGTACCATTTCACATGTGCGATGCCATTGGATAATTTGACTTGCGTGTTGAGGTAGGGCAACCAACCGTCGTGTGGTGTTTCGCGAGTGAGCTTGATGTACTGTGACTGTTCATTCATTAGTCGGAAACACTCATCCATTTCGGACTGTGTTGATGTTATAATGAAACAGTCGTCGATATATCTGCAGTACATCAAAGGTAAGC